CCCGAAGTGAATCGTGATACACACACACATCAATATCAACCAAAACACAAGATTGAGAGCATCTACACAAGAGGAAAGTTCACCGAAGTATCCCGAAGTGAATCGCAACACACACACGCATCAAGATCAGCCAAAACACAAGTTTGAGAGCATCTACACAAGAGGAAAGTTCACCGAAGTATCCCTGAATGAATCGCAACACACACAAGCATCAAATTCAGCCAAAAGACAAGATTGAGAGCATCTACACAAGAGGAAAGTTCACCGGAGTATCCTGGAATGAATCGCAACACACACAAGCATCAAGTTCAGCCAAAAGACAAGATTGAGAACATCTACACAAGAGGAAAGTTCACCGAAGTATCCCAGAGTGAATCGCAACACACACACACACATCAAGATCAACCAAAACACAAGTTTGAGAGCATCTACACAAGAGGAATGTTCACCGAAGTATCTCGGAATGAATCACAACACACACAAGCATCAAATTCAGCCAAAAGACAAGATTGAGAACATGTACACAAGAGGAAAGTTCACCGAAGTATCCCAAAATGAATCGCAACACACACAAGCATCAAAATCAGCCAAAAAACAAGATTGAGAGCATCTACACAAGAGAAAAGTTTACCGAAGTATCCCGGAGTGAATCGCAACACACACACACATCAAGATCAGCCAAAACACAAGTTTGAACCGTGCCAGTACACAAGACTGTTGTCCCCGAGAGAGTAGTTCGGGACGGTCTTGCCATTCCGAAGGGTCGCGTGGATGTCGTGATAGTCGGGGCAGTGGCGGTACTGAGTGCGAAACTCGTCGATCACCGAGTGGTGGACAGTGGTGACCGAGATGGAAGAGAGCTGGATCTGCTCCTGGCCGTGGTCAGGGCGCCGGGATAAGGCATCTGCGACCCGATTAGTCTCACCCTTGATGTGCTCAGTGGTGAAACTAAACTCGGATAGGTCGCGCCACCAGCGAGCCTGTCGAGGAGTGAGCTCCGGCTTTGTCAGAAAAGCCTGGACAACATAGTTGTCCGTGCGCACCGTGAATGGTGCCCCGTGCAGGTAGTGACGCCAGTGCCGAGCGGCATAAACTACTGCGAGAACCTCACGTTCATCAGCAGTGTAGTTTATCTCGGCGGGCAGRAGCTGACGRGAGTAGAAGGCTATCGRACAATCACCTGAGCGAGACTCGRCAGTGCCGTCCTCGGAGATGGTAGGAGAATAGTCAATAGAAGGCTCGTCAGTAGCTGGACGAGTAGGCGTCAGTCGGGAAGCAGTGGTAGGGGTAGGTGGTGGGAAGCGAGGGATACGAGGATGAGAGRAATCAGGAGAKGARGGGAAGACCTGARAAAGMACTGCTCCTACAGCRAAGTCTGACGCRTCGGTGGTAAGGATAAAMGGGCGRTCAAAATCGGGTAGGTGAAGAACCGGTGCGCATGTCACCGCCTTCTTGAGGGCRYGGAAGGCGTCCTCGTGGAGGGGTGTCCAAGCCCACGGTGGGTTCTTCCGGAGGAGGGTGGAGGTAAGGACGTAGGAATACCTAGCGTATCCCCGGATGAAATTACTATAGTAGCTGGTCAGGCCTAGGAAACTGCGAAGCTGCTCGGCGGATGTGGGAGCGGGCCACTCCGCAATAGCAGTGATCTTCGCGTCGTCGATGTGGAGACCCTGGTCAGACGTGTAGTGTCCTAAGAAATCCACTTTGTGCTGGGCAAAGCGGCACTTGCTCAGCTTGGTATAGAAGCCATGTCTGCGCAAACGGTCAAGGTCGTCACGGAGGTGTATGAGGTGTTCCTCAAGGATACGACTGTAGACCAGGATATCATCGAGGTAGACGAGAACGTACTGCTCCAGGATGTCCCTGAAGATGTCGTTCATCGCCCTCTGGAAGGTGGCGGGTGCATTGGTGAGGCCGAATGGCATCACCGTAAACTCGTAGTGGCCGAAGCGCGATCGAAACGTTGTCTTCGGCTGGTCGGCTGCAGCGACGCGGATCTGATAGTAACCGCTACGAAGATCAATCTTTGTAAAGAAGCGGTTGCCTGCTAGGCGGTTGAACAGCTCATCGGAACGAGGCATGGGGTAACTGTTCTTAACCGTGTAGCGGTTGAGACCGCGGTAGTCGATGCAGAGACGAAGAGTTCCATCCGCTTTGCGAGCAAAGAGGACGGGTGCACCCCACGGGGAGTTGCTGGGTTTAATGAAACCCAGTCTCAGGAGCTCCTCAAGCTGACGCTTGAGTTCGGTGGCCTCGGGGATCGAGAGTCTGTAGGGTGCCTGGTGGTGAACACGATAGTCAGGCACGAGCTGAATGGAGTGCTCGACGTCACGCATCTGTGGGATGCCGGCGTGCGAGAACGACGATGGGAAAATGTCGTGGTACTCTCGGATGAGGTCACGAACTGCGGGCTCCAGGTCAGCCGTACATCGTGCGAATTCCTCAGCGTCAGCGTCAGCGCGCGATGGCGGGGTGGACTCGACGGACGGCGGAGGGACGGAAGTAGATATGAGAGCCATGGAGATAGAAGAAGGATCTGGCTCCTGAAGGATGAGCTCGGCGTCGGGACAGGGGGGATCATAGTGTAAGAGATCCGTCACGTCCACCATAAAGAAGGTGACGTCGTCCTGTCGGATGAAGTGGGTGAACTGCTGAGGCGAGGTGACAGTGATAGGAGGAGAAGGTGTGGGCACGGAAGGCTCCGCCGGAGAAGGATCGGGGCGTGGTGTCACGGTGGTACCTTTGAAAGGTATGCGATACGTCTGTACACACTTCGTTGTGAGAACGAGAGTGTTGGTCGCCTAATCGGCCTCGGTGCTGCGGAACCGATGAGACCACGGAGTGCCGAGAATGAAGTCGTACCCCGTCTATATCACATCGAAATGTGCAGAGGAGCGGTGGCGACGAGACGCCGGGGAACGATCAGTCGGCTCGAGAGTGAGGAAGAAAGGGAGGTCGGTGACCGTCTGATTGAAGAAGCGTTGTGTCTTGTCATCCCCTAGGGTGACAGAGATGAGAGACAAAGACCCGGTCGTAGGTAAGCGGACTTCTTTCACCACACGAGGGTGAATGAAGTCGCCCTAAGAACCGGAATCCCACAGCATGAGTACACCCTCGTGGAGGTCCCCAATCGTACTATGATGATCGGGAGGGTGCGATCAGGGTCAGAGAGGATGGTGAGAAGGCGACGCAGGGCAGCGACATGGAGCGTGAGTCGCTACTGACGGGCCTGGAGCATGCTCAAGTCCAGAAGAGAGGACACAACGTCCTCGCGAGTAGCGAGCTGCTCGCTGCAACGGGCTGAGCAAATGGCTCGACGCGTCGGTAGTCGCGGCGGGGAAGGAGGGGAGACGGTGGTCTGCGGAGGCGCAAACGGTACTGTGACAAAGGGTTGAGTACACTCTGTCGAGTCCTGCGATACCCCAGCTCCAGTAGCGAGAGGGGCGAACCGCGACGGAGATGTCGGGAAACCCACTACTGAGGAGGGCGCAGGTGTACATTGCACCGTGGCTGGGAAGCGCCGCGGGGATGGGAGGCGCCGGGGGGGGACTGAGCACGACGCTGGCGGGAAAGGTCAGCGTAGTGGCGGTCGAGGGCGGTGGTATAAGGGCACCGCAAGGAGGTATGACCGTCCAAGCGGCAGCGCAAATACCCACGCCGGCCCAAAATAGCCGCGCGCTCCTCAGCAGAAAGGACACCGCGAGGAGGGACAAAGCCCTGAGGGAGGTCCTGTTGAGGGACCTCGGGGGGCGACGTGCCAGCGTGCCCGGGAAAGGGTGGAGAGGATGAGCTGGAGGCGCTCAGCCATAGGGAGAGTAGGGTCCTCAAGGTGGTGGTGGACGGCCTCGTCAAGGTCGAGGTCATCGCTATGGTCACCCTCTGGTGACAACGGGGCACTAGCGTCCTGCTCACCATACTCAAGCGCGCTGAAGCGGCGCGAGAAGTGGCGGCCGTGCTGCGTGGAACGGCAGGGGCGACTGCGGAAAGGGGAACGACGCTGGGAAGTGTCGTGAGAGGAGGAGGAGACGTAACCAATGCGCTGAGGCTGGGAGGAGGAGGCGGGGTGAAGACGGACTCGCATCCGATGATGGTCCCTGGCGGCCTCGTAAGCCTGCGGGGCCGATGTGAACTCGTACCGCCATAGCTCCGAGCGGTACTCGAGTGGAAGGCTGGCCAGAAAACGATCGATAAGGGCAGCCTCGGGGAGGAACGCCACGTCACAAGTGAGGCGGGCGTCCTGAAAGACCTGGATGTGGCGATCCAGGCCGGCTGCGCCACCAGAGCCGGACCAGCGTGTAGTGACGACACGCTCGAAGGCGTCAGTCACGTCGTATCGGGCTCTGAAGCGATTCTCGAGGAACGCCTGGAAATCCATGAAGGTCGGGGTCCGACCCTCACGAAGGGAGTACGCGTAGAAATTCTCCCAGGCCTCGAAAGGACCTCCTCGTAGGCGCGTGGAGAGGTGACCCACCCACATGTCGGGTGTGGCGCCCATGAGCTGGAGCGTGCGGGTGGCAGACTGCAGCCACCTAGACACGCGTATGCCTGTCTAGTCATACAAGGCAATGTCCGATAAGCGGATGAGTGGTGCACCACCGTTTTGGCGGCGAGGGGATCGAGGAGCAGGGGACTGCGCTACGACTGAAAAAGTCGGCGCAGGTCCTGGAGGAGGGGGCACAACTGACTGTACGCCCAGGCCGCATGGTGGAGCGGCGGGTGAAACAGTGACAGGTTGCACGGGAGCTGCGGTAGAAGAGGTCGCAGCAACCGAGGGGATGGGGAGGAGGTAGGATGGGGATGGGTAGGGTGCAGGGCGAGGGAAGCGAGCCTGCATGGAAGGAAGAATAGAGGAAGAAGTGGGTGCGCCGGAAGGCGCGACCACCTGTGAGGGTGGGGGTGGCTGAGGGCGTGAGAGGGAGAGGTCGGTCCGCAGCTGGGCGATCTCGTCCTCGAGACCTCGAACGTAGGTCGAGCGAGGTGTGGCAGGGGGAGATGCACGAGCGGCGCGAGGCATCCCACAAGGGGGAGAGCCAGATGGCGCTGCAGTCGTGCGAAGAGGAGGGAGAAGTGGGGCACCTGGAAAAGCTGCGACCATGGTAGCGGGTTGTGGTACCGTGGCCGTACTGACCGGGGTCTGGGCGGGTGCGCCCGTAGACTGAGGGAGGACCTGACTCGTGGCGGCCGTCGTGCTAGGGGCGTGGACAGTCACCAAGATGGCCGGGTCGGGGGCAGCGGAGAAGGAAGCTCCACCGTGGCCACCCTGTCGGAGGATGGGGGACCCGGACTGGGAGCCAGGAAAAGAGATAGGGTGAGGAGAGGAAGGACGACCAGCGTCCTGGAGTTGCCACACGCCGGCGGCATGGATGACCACCTGCGCCTGTAAGGATGCGAGGGTCGCGAGTTGCGCCTGGATGGGCACAAGGGTCGTGAGTTGCGCCTGGATGGGCGCAAGGAGGGAGGTGAGGAGGGTGTGCAGATCCCCCTGGGGCTGATGGCCCTGGTCCGCCGGCACGGGTGTGGAGCCCGATGCCGTGGTCATCGTCGTGTCGACGGCGTGTGACACACTGTCGGCCATGGGGAGATGACGGACCGGACTGGAGGGGGCCAGAAGAGGTCCACGTGAGTGGAGGGCGTAGAGGGAAGTCCGTGGTAGAAAGCGGCGAACGGCGCTAGGAAGGCTAGCGCGGGTGTCGTCAAAGGGGGAGGGGTGGTTCGGGTCCAGGGCGCCCGAAGAGGACAGGGAAGTAGGGGGGGGGGTTGAAGAACCCTAAACCCTACAAAAACCCTAAGAAAACCCTAACCGAAGTTTAAGTGGTTAGGGTAGGGTACCGGTGACCTAATCAAGAAAGTAAAATAGCAAGCATAGGGGGGGGAAGGCGGGAAAAAAATAAATAAACAGCGAGATTTTGAGAGAAAATAAAAATAAAAAAGAAAATAAAAAAATAATAAAAATAATTAAAGAAATAAGCATACTTGCGGCGCACTTCTGCGGTGCGCCGTGCGGTGTGC